TCGTGCAGACGGTTAATGTCAGACACGTGTATTTGCTCAGCTATTGGTTCTATTTGTTTGTAACGGTTACAAGAACTCAACGCGAGTTTTCTTCTAGGATGAAAATCCATTTTCAATTCCACGTGATGGATAAACATGTCACGTGCCGACCGTAAATACACTATTGTTAGACGTGAAAAAAACTCGTCTTGACTTTATAAATATTAAAAATTTGTTGCGTACTTGTAATAACTAGTAATATACAACAATGCGTAATATAACGATATAATCGTATAAAACACATGAACTACACACCTGTTACGTGCGCGAATTGCAAGAAACTACGCACTATACCTGGAGATATCGTTCATGTTGATTTATTCAAAGTATTATTTAAAAAAAACGACAATACCATCACTAATACTGTTGTACTGAATACTCTTATTAACATGTCAAAATTGTTGTGAATTAAAAACACGGCATGTAACCCAATTGTCACGAGCATTCGGAAACGATCACATGTTGAAGCAACGTCTGTACGGGTCGATCGTTTGCAACTATTGACTGCTCTAGTGTTCCTTGTTTTACGATTGCACGCTTTCACGTACTCACGCTTAAAGTTCGATTTTAGAATACGTTATTTATAGTTTTACCGTAAACTAATTGTATTCAACCCCTAAATTTCTGTTTACATGTCTCAAGGTTTTTGTAATGCAATACATGACAACATTCTGGATATAATTGGTTTACAATTATTTCTTTTCGTTCAAATGATAATTTTTCATTACAATATAAGTGACATGCATTTTCGTACGAATTAAAATTATTCAGGTGAATACGACTCCGATACGTGTTCACGTGTTATAGCATTTATACTTAAATTTTCTTCAATTTTTTTACGTTCACGTGTTCACGATATCCGTGTCCATGTATGTTTGTATTCACGTAAATAAGTATTTCCCTTAAACTATTCGCGTCGACTAATTACGAACGAATTTCACCGCCGCTGGATGACGTATTTATGGTAGTGGACGTGGCCTCCTCATGTGGTGAACTCAAATATTTTCAGAGGCAATCATATTTATCAATACGAACCCACTAAATAATAATTGCATGTACAAATCAAAACAATGGACCTAAAACATAGTAATAACTAGGGATGAGATTTAAATGCCCGAAAAACCTTCAAAAAATTCTCGTAGAAAAAAAAGCAAAAATAACTTGAGAAATTCGAAAATCCCTCATAAAATTAACTTAAATTAACTAATTTACACGGTGATTATGTAAACAAAGCTCGTGTAACATTCTGTAGTATAAGCAATTTAAAGATCATATTAATATTCCAATAGAAAATAAACTAGCATAAACTTTTGTTTTTTTTATTTCTTTTATTACCATGTAAGCAAATTATTATATTATTATTATTATTATTATTGGTAGCTAAATATATATAAGAGAGAGAACGAACTAATAAAGGGATTCTTCCATGGTGGTCGTGTCACATGACCACCACGGAAACATGTGCATTATCTTAATTGTTACTTTTATAAAAATTATATTTTTTGTGTCTATACGTACAATTTTGTTCGGCGTATACGACAGTTCCTAAATTAAACTCACTTTTAGATAGTATAAATCAACCGATCTGTGTGTAGAATCCATTGTGCATATGTATGTTAATTTTATTATATGCCCGTGAATCATTTAAACGGGCGAACACATAAAATGTTACAACGGGCCATGCATTACTCTAACTTGCTTTTTGGACAATCGTTATTATTTGCCGACACTATTATTTTTATTATTCGAGATATCGGCCAAAATCAAACTTAAACGGCACCCGCGTAACAAGACTTCCAGCCGAACTTTATAGAGACACGTGGATATGTCGGGTAACGTACATTGTAGTTTGTTATAGTTTTAATTTGGCCGGTTATCTCATGCATGAAATACATTATGAATATATTAAATATTTTAGTAATTGTCCACCGATGTATCAAGCATTTGCGACCTTTCAGATGAGATTGGTATTTTTATTGTATAAATCTCGTACGCCACGAGGTTGAATCCTCGTTGATTGTTTTCATATACCCTCGTCTTTTATTTTATTCTATTCGAGTTCTGTGCCGTAAGGCTTTCTCGACACAAAAGTGAAAATTCTTTAAATAAATAAAAAAAATGTATTTTCATTACACCTTATTTTATTCTATGTTGTAATATTTTTCCTTTTTTCCGACTTTATATCAAAGGTAAAAAACGAAATCCCACGTGCTCCGGCCAATGCTTCGACCCGTCATTCGAGGTCAGTCGCCACTATCTGATGACCATGAATTTGTGTGATTAAACGATATAATCGGACGTCGATTTTACTGATTCCAAATAGTCGATTAGTGATTCCTAATACATCACGTAAACTATCATAGACGCCGCTTGTTTTAGACGTCGACTACTGTCCGATAATGTAATATGATTTACGACTCATAATTTACGAGTACCTTGAGTGATTTTTTACACTTACACGTATATGAAAACTATGATGGCTTGTAAAAATCTTGAAACAAATTTTCGAATTCCAACTTAGAATTTAAAATATCAGAAAATATCCTAATAAAACTGAAATGAAGAAAATTACCAGATAATTGAAAATTACGAAAAAAAAAAAATACAAAATGTGATGGACAAATTAAATTTCCTAAAATCGTTAGAAGTACACAAAACGAATTGTACGAGATTCGTACCGGGAGCTTTGGAAAAAAAAAATGCAAAGTGCATCAAAATCTTAGACCCAGTAATGACAAACAGCGCACAAGGCCACAGTGACGATCGCTGTACTAAACGAGTTACTTGTTTCAACGACACGTATGATTTAATGACCTGTTATTACCGGCCAGTAGCTACCGGACACTAGCTTGTATCGACGTTTGAATATCGTTTCGCACGTTGTTTTCCCACATCCCACGCAGTCATAGACCTAAATCTTCGTCGGTCCGACTGCGGCGCATTCCAAACGAAAAAAACTCTGTATCTCGATCGCCAGCATTCGTATGCATGCCAAGTAAACCACGATTTGGCCGTATTGATCTATCAGACGTTCGCAGAGATCGATGGTGTCACTTTTTCGTGGCACCCTCCGAAACATGTGCACGACCATCGTTTGGCCCATGCACGATTGCGTCCGAGACAGGTCGTCGCGATTACACATGAAACTTGTGTACGAGGCGAGAAAAAAAAACGCTATTGAATTACAGTTCGTCGGGATGGAAAAATAAAACGTAATATGTCACCGGGAAAATAGATAGGAGATCACAGTACAATAATAACACGTTACAGCACATGGACGTATTTTAGGGGGGAAGGGGGTGATTACCTTCCTAAATCCGTATTTAAGGAATCGATTACATGTGAGATAAGCATTTCAAATTTTTTTTAATATGGATCATTTTATAACAACATAAAATTACGCTTTTCTGTGAATACCGAATTGAGCTTTTTTTCGGGTCCATACTTAGTGAAAAATCAAATAAAACACAAGGGTAACATTCAAAACATAGACAGGTGTTAAAAAATAACTACATAAAAGTCCAAGTGTAGTCCAAGTAAATCCAGTATTTGATTAAAAAAAAAAAAAAAAAAACCACAAATATTAAGGATTCACCTGATTTTAATATTATCAAAAAATTTACTTGTAAATGTTGAGCCTGAATTAAAGAAAAAAAATTGAATCCAACCCTCCCTTAGAAGTATGTTTAAATACGCCCCTGTAACAGTGTACGCGCTTTTCGGTGGATAATCGATGCTTCGGACGGTGACGGTGCGCGCACGACGGAACCCGTCTCTTTATTACTTTGAATTCTCCATGCATGGTCAGATCAACACCTGGTACAGTAGAGTCTCGATGATCCGGCATACATATATATATATATATAGGTACGTCTACGAAATTTGAATTATTCGGGAAGCGGGAAGTACCTATGTACTATATGATAAGTTGATTATGATTTGATCGTTTCAATTACATATTGTGAAAAACATTTGTTAGTTAGTTGAAAAAAAAGTCATTCCGTTTAATCCCGACGCAGAGCCAGAACCAATCCGGTCCGGATCAGCCAGACTACTGTATTCGCCGAGATTTACGGACAACTATGTAGGTCGACTCCTACATGCAATGTGTACGTTACGGAATCGGCAAATATATTTTCAATTGATGTACTTTGGGCGCCACAGGTTAGGTCCCTTCCGAATCACTGTTGTCCATTACAAGTCCGACTGGAAATCGGTTAACTTCTATGTGTGCGAAACCACAGCCAACTGCTCGCAATATTATCTAAATATTGCCAGGAGATATTCGACTGTTTCAGATTAGACAAACGCTATTTTAATGGTATTAATAACATTATTTAAGTGCGAATATTTATTTACATACATAATATTATTAATATGTTGATATACCATTACTGTTTCGAACTAAAAAAAATGTTGGATTTGAAAAAACGCATACAAAAAATTTTGTACACTTTAATGATATTAATTTTGTTTGTCTATATGAATTTACAGTCATAATTTAAATCAACCTATTAAATATTAAATTCAAAATTTTCTATTTAACCAAATTTTATACCATGTCAGAAAGAAAAAAAAATTTTCGATCCCTAAAAATGTGGTTTTCAAAAAAAAATTTATAGATTACCCGCACATAGTAATAAGTACATTCAATCAAAATTTAAAATCGGTTAGTAAATGGCTGTACCTCGATATTAGTTAGTAAGTGTGTGGTTTTTGAATTGTATAGCTAAATTTAGACTATCTAAAATTAGATTAAGGATGAAAACCACTCACAACACTTACAGATAAGTCGTAGCAATATGAGTAGTTAACATATCAGACGTCAAAGCAACGATTTTTATTATAAGACATTTCACCATTTCCACATCATTTTGCGAACAGTTTAATGGAACCTAATATTTATATTTCGTTTTCATTGATTTACGTTTAATGAAATATAATATGATGTCGAGGCTTACCTAGGTGACAATGACTGCGGTGAGACATTAGTTGTTTTATTTTGATCGGTGCGATGTTGTTGCAACCCAGGAGAAGTTTTACGGCAGTGAACCTTCGTTATGTATTGCCTTGCTGTGTTACTATTGTTTTACTGTAAAATGTTGACTGTGACCTGAAAACGTGACCTTCTTGAATTGGGTTGATGTTAAACCAAGTCGAGCGTTGATCGATTCAAAGTCTCTTATGGTTTTCAACTACAAGATATCGAGTATATAAGCAACATATGGACTTATTTTAAGTAGGAAATAAGTAGACGTAGATGATGTTCCGCGACGGAAGAAAAAAAATAAATGTAATTTATTTGACAAATCCATCTTAACGTCACATGTCTTCGAGTTGCTATGAAAATACCTGGTTCAGTGATAACTGGTTTTTCCATAATTTAATATGCATTCGAGTAACGCGTTAATACTTAATAATATGCCGATGTACCAAACACGCGGCGTACCAACCTGCCTATATTAGCACAGTGCTACACGCGTTGTTCGAATTCGTATTCGTTCAGCTTCAGATTTTGTTTAAATTCAATCACATGCTTATGTCTCGATAGATAAAAACTTAATATCCATACAAAATGCATTGCCCAACTAGCTTATTGCCTTTTATTGTGGAATATATTAAAATCGATCTCGTCGATCCCAATCGTAGTGTCGGTAGAGGAATAAAACGTTCTACGCGATTTTAAAATAGGCGTTCACCACAGAAACAGGAACAACACATACGCACATAACGTGTAATACACGTTCAGTGAATTTGGTTTTTAATGTGGATATGTTGAAACACGTTTGTTATTAATTTTTTTATTTTTATCTATTTATATATTTTATTTTTTTAATTTAATTACATTTTTAGTGGTTCTTTGCTATCGTGGAACAGTGTGATGTATAGTCAATCACATTTAAAATCCACCAACATTTTGCTATATCCATAATCGTAATTAACTTAGAGTACGTACATTACCAAGAATTATATTATTTAGGTAGTTAAAATACTGAATTATGTTCCCTTTTTTTTTTTAAAAAAAAAAAAAACAATCTTTTGAAAATCCAACAATTTGTTGAAAAATAGCGCATTTTACATATTACTTAATTACATATATTTTCATATTGATGTACTAAAATAATTTGAGTACATCAATATAAACATTTTATTAAAATATTATTTTATTTAATATTGTTTCAGTTTATTATTTATAAAAAATTAATAAACTTTTATATACTTTTATATTTTTAATATTTTCGATAAACTCCCGAATAGTATATTTTTATCAATCAATTATAAATTGTATAATATTACTACTCAATGATTTTTTTTTTAAATATATATGTTAAAATACATAATGGCATATGAATATAATAATTATATGATAAATACAAATTTTAAAATAAACCTGAGTTTGAGATCGTAATTTTTGCTACCCATTTTTTTTTTTTTTTTTTTTTTAAGAACCAGGAAATATTGATAACAATATAATATATTATATCAAGCATATATTCTGTTAATTCATATGATATATGCTCGGAAGAGAAACAACTTTTATTTAAAGTGGGGTGTTCACCTTGCGTATTGCCAAAAAAAAACAGCATACTCGTACTTCAATACTTGAATACATAAGATAGTTATACAAACAATACAAATACATGTTACTTAATTTACAATATAAGTCGATCGACAGTGCTAAATATAAATGATTTAAAACTCAACTATATGAGTATACTAAATTACATAATGATGTTCTTAAAATTTAACAAACAATACAATTTACTGCAATAATGAACTGCTAACAGTTTTGTGGAGTGTAATAAATAACACTTTTCATTAATTTTGAACACGCAAAAATTAAAAAAAAAATCCATGGTACAAAAATAATATGAAAAATATACCTATGAAATTAATTCATTGATTATGCCACGCCATACCTCTGATATAATGAATGATTCCAGTCGTTATTGACGTTGAATGAATCTACGAAAATTGTCTTTATAACTATATATTGCTGAGACTCTGCAAAATCAAGGTTATATCTGTGTATTCACATGGTCCGAGGTATTAAAGTTAACCCTTAAAGCTTTAGGTTAGCTTAGTAAAACTTCTTTCTCTCTCTCTCTCTCTCTATTTATCTCTTTCGTATTATCTGCCTGTATACCTGATTAACATTTTAAACCCCTTTAATCAACCCGACAATTTAATGTCAAATTAATTCATGTTTAAATTTAATCAAACAGTACATGATGGAACCTGTAAAGAAAATTATGCTGTAGAATAATAATAATGATATTATTACGCCATTAACAATGAAACTTTAAATTACAAAAGAAAATCCTTGTATTAGTACAATCTCACGTTCCACATCATATATTAAAATACGACCAAACCGTTGTCTTCTGAAAAATGTTCAGTTTAACATCATTATATGTTCGCTCAAAATATTTTTGGACCAAAACGGGCGTTTTACAAATTATTAGACTATATGTGTCATAATACTTAGTGTGTTATACTTTAAAAATTTTAGATTTTGTTCTCAGTGTTTAGAACAACAAATGTCCTCTAGAGAATTTATACACATCGTCTCTAAAAAAAAAAAAAAAATATTTGGCAATTGCTGAGAAATAAACTTTTGTACTGCTGCCAATGCTGTATTTGTTTTCGAATATAATATAAATTTACTACAAAAGAAAAGGACAAAATATTGCATCGTATATTATTGAATGACTAAAACTGTTTATTCGAAAAATAACATTACACCCGTTTCAAAGTATAGCACAATTATTTCAAACGATTTTTTTTTTATAAATTTAATATTAAAATTAACTTAACGCTAAAATGTCCGTTAAGAATTTTACATAAGACCATTGGACAAGATAATAATGTGATTTCCATTAGAAAATAATGCAAAACCTATCGCAACATAATGTATATAACAAAGAAAAACGAGGAAACGCCATATTATTGTTGTAAAATTATATACATTTCGAATTTCTCGATTACTATTATTTTTTATCATTGTCGTTTGTAATATTGTTAGCTTAATGAGTTTAGACAGCTTCAAGTATTATGTACATCCTCAGAGTTTCAAACACGATGATAATAATACTATCGAAATTATTTTCAAGCTTCTCAAATATTAAAATAACCCTTAATTAAAATTTAATTTTTTAATCGTTTCCGTTTATTAAGCAAAAACTTAATAAAGTTACGAACGTCAAAACCCACACCAAAAAGTTCAAAAACGATAAACCGCGCATTACATCGTCTCTGGTAAACTTTTCCATATCGTCGTTATAATATTATAATCGTCTATAATAAATCTACGTTTTGAATACATTATATCGATTTGTTTAACAGTTGATACGAACCAAGGCGGTTGATTCGTAAAATATGGTTGTTTTTCTATAATTCCATAAAACGTTAACACTTACGAGCGCAAGTCAAACGAAAAACAAAACTTTTGTTCGCAAAGTTTGTTCACTCTGCATGTGTGACTGAGTGAAAAGCTTGGATAATATCAGTTTGGAAACGATACCCAGTAGGCATAGGGATCAATCTCACAGTACAAGAAACGGAACGGCCGCTGTCGAGATCGTTGGACATTATTTGCATTATTGTATTCTACGACGACATAGAACACCATACCAATATTACGCATGATAGCAATAACAGGCGTTTCCAATAATCTTTTACACGAGGAAAATAATTTTTATCCGCATAAATATGTACGAAATTCCTACACGCGCGTAGGTAAAGTCATTTATTACATTTGTAATATAAAATAATATATTAAAGTACTAACATATATATTATTGTTATTATTTATACATTTTTACAGAATTTCGGCCGGAGAGGCTCTATGTAGCAGTACTTGTAAGTCGAGGGTTCTTTTTCCAAAACACTATTTCCTGGTGGAACAAAAAAAAGCCAAAAGTTTTGTATGGCATGTGAATAATTCAATATAATTAAATTCGCTAAAGTATATATATATATATATATATAAATATATATATGAAATATAAAACCGCTTGAAAAAAACTGCTAATACCTCTCCCTCTGATCCAATTAACCCCTGATCCAGTGGCTGATCCATTGCTTGAAATTTTTTTTAAAACGCTAAATAATAACTGCATAACCACTTTTAAATACGACGGCACACCCAGATAATAATATATCGGCTAATATATAGTGATAGTATGTTGAGGGTAATAGATACGCACACAAAGTTCGCAAAACATCCGGTTTTTTTCCCCATTTTTTCACCGTTCACGATTTTATTGTATATCGTGACCAATATCCTAACCGTTTTTTTTTTATTTGTTATTATACGTACACACAATATATTTATTATATTCCTCGCAGAAATTTAAGTGCGAGTATTTGATACGGGCGATATTTATTTAAATTATTGGATGTCGGACGATAACTTGAAAGTGAGTAAACGAGATTATAATATTTTTCAATTTTTCCGGGAGGGAAAGGGGAACAAGGAGGTTCAACATTTTCTAATCAGTGAGTTTATAATGATTATCGTCAAACATAGATTTATTATAAAAATACCTGCGACTGCTTAAGAACCATATTTACCATTAGTTACAACACGATATGATACGAATAACAAAATTTGACGTTCTCTTTGTCTACTCCTACCAGAGCATATTTTAATATACTAAGTTCGTAGAACTAGTGCCCCCCCCCCCAAGTGATAATTGAATGTTATCCAGTTGACAAGAGTTGATTTTCCCACTACTCGTATGTTTCTCTACAAAAGAATACCACGTCTATGAACTATGATGGTAGACAATTTTATTAAAGTGCCACCAAATGAAAATTACTCGAAATAATATACTTAATTATATATTTAATAATACATATTATATTCTGACACCTACTTACGTGATTAACGAGCCATTTACTATGAATTTCGAGTCCAATCTTTCCAGTGGCGTATATAGGAATTATTTTCACTATGGGCCAATTTATCCTCACCATAGCTACAACTAGAAATTTTTTAGGGAACGGATAGTTTTAATTATGATATAAATGATACAAATATAGGAATTTAAATTTATTAATATATATTTATTATTAAATAAGTTACATAATAAACTAAGCATTTTTCTA